GTCTCTTCTTGTTGATCTCCACTCTTGCCTTCAGAAAAACAGCTTTCTGGCCTTTCTATTAGTAAATTCATTTACAATGTCATCAAAGTCCAGATTTCTGACAAGCTGAGATTGGGCGACAGTTAACTGAGGCGCTGTTGAGTTAGTGTTGTTCTCAGTTCATTTTTTATTCTTGCCATTTGTGAAAATGATTGTTCCCCTTCACAATTTGTAACTGGTAGAGTTAGAAAAATCCGCAGGGCCACAAACACATTAGGGAAGATGGACTGTAGACTATGTTTTAGCCCGAAAACGATCCTGGTACTGATTATATTAAATTATCTATGTGGACTCTCTGGGGATTATTTAGAGCTGAGAGGTGCAAAGCTCTGATGGTTGATGTGCTCCAGACGGATGCATCCTGAGCACGGCCACAGTAACATTATCAAAGTGTCGCCACCTCAAAAACAAATTTAACATGTGATCGTTCATGTCGGCTCATATCCTTCAATGCTTTCTGTCTTTTATTTGTGTCTGATGCGTTTCGCTCCTTCGGAGCGAGTTCATCGCTTGTTTCGTTCTCCGGTGATTTTACTGCAGCAGTGTAGCCGGCACGCACTCCGCTGTTTTTGCGGTCGGTAGATCTTTTAGAACTGCAGTTCAAAGGTAACTCATGAGGTGAATATATATGAACCCAGGTAGCAGTTTCTCTTTAGGACTGAGAGGAGATGCAGGAAGATAATAAACAGACAGGACAGAAAAATAGTCAAATAAAAAACAAGTTCGTTTTTGTACCTGCTGGTTGCAACAAACAGACACTGAAGGTAATCAGAAGTGAGGAACAGAAAATGAAATTATTCTTTCAATGTTTAGAGCAGCAGGAACTCCGGGAGGCTGCAGGCGCATCAGTGACTTTGCGGCCGCTGCGCAGGGGGAGGGGGGAGAGGGCTGAAGCAGGGAACAGTATGGATGCAAAAATTACCGTTGTTAAAATAAATGTGTGTTAACTTAGAAAATGCGGGCGCAAGTTTAATTACTTGTTAACTTTTTTCTTCAATGTTAAGATTGCTGGACAAAAAAAAAGACTGCTGCTGGCGTGGGCCCCCTTGTGGCTGTGGGCCCCTGGGCCTGTGCCCAGTTTGCCCATATTATAATCTGGCCTTGGCTCTGTGCATTCTCGTAACCATAATCCTGATATTTTCTCGTTTTTCTCTCTTGTGCTATCTCGCTTTAAGCTTGCCCTGCAAGTACAACATGTCAGCAGTTATCACAATACCAGCGAAACATGTTTTCCATCAATCCTCTGATGATTTTCAGATCATTTCCCCATTTGCTGGATTTCCATTTCCATCAATGTACCATCTTCATTCAAAAGGTGTTTGTGAGTTCTTATTCCCCCATACATAGATACCACACATGCAAAGCAAATCCATACACTCTCTCATTTATCCAAACAACAGTTAAAGCTGACAACATCTAAGACAAAACATTCGATAACTAGAGTCGCGTTTCCATTCAAGGCAAAACGCCCAAAAACTCAAGCCAAAACACAGTTGCATTTATACTTCGGCCAAAAACGCCCAAAACCAATTTAACCTCTCAGTTATCACACCGGTCCATTCATTTAACATTTATAACTTTATCACACCAGGGTTGTGTTTATATTTCGGCAAAAACACCCAAAAAACCAACCCAATACAGCATTCCTGGAATCTGTTTATCTTTCTCTCCCCCGCTGTAGTGCATTCTTGTAACCATACCAAACAGCACTCCAGGAATCTCTTTTACAAGTCCCTTCTGGCAAACCAACCAATTTCACCCCTGGTCACCTAGGATTTTCTCTCAGTACCACAAGACAAGAAAAACAAACTTGTCTCACCAAATTTCTCCACTCAGGTCTTGAGTGATTCGTGGATCCGCATTCCCCCCAGCGACGTCAAGACCTTCCCACCGACCCCCCAGCAAAACTCAGCGCTGGGGGAAATTTAGGTTGTCGACAGTCCTTCGGGGTCGGTTCTTGGCGCCGCAAGGTGATGGGACCCCGGCTTTCGAAGGACCAAATAATGTCATGGATTTTATCAATATTTTTATCAATAACCCATTTCCTGTAGTCGAAGAGGAAAAGGAGACAATGAACAGACAATTCAAACAGTTATAACTGTGGCATAATGCACGAGGCAAAATGCCCCGAACATCTGGTCACAGAGTTTATTTGTACCAAGAGATAAGAAAGGAGGTCACAGAGTTTATTTGTACCAAGAGATAAGAAAGGAGAGAGAGAGAGAGAGAGAGAGAGAGAGAGAGAGAGAGAGAGAGAGAGAGAGAGAGAGAGAGAGAGAGAGACTTGTGTGTGGGTGTGGCTTGTGTGGGTGTGTCTGAATAAGTGAGCATGCAAAGAGGCATAGAGCTATACATATTACGTTCAGTTGATTGAGTCAATGATCAAAAATAAATAAACATAAAATTTCTATACCATTCCCTCCTGGTATAGAGGGGGGTGGGGGGTCATTTAAGTCATTGATTACACACATTTTTCTTTTTGTTTTCATTGAATAACCTCATGCATCAATGTTTTCCACAGTCATCTCCTCCCCCTCTGTCTGCTTGTCTCTCTCTCTCACCCCACCCCACCCCATCTGTTTAGTTTCCGAGCTTCTTCCTGTACAATCGTCCATCTGAGGATTTGCTGCCACATCAACGGGGGCCTTCTCGGACTTCTCCTGTCATGTTCTGCTTCCCGTCTCCTTTGTGGAAACACATGCTGTCCTCCCTGGTTGTCCTCCCCTGTTCATTCTTCTCTGCCCTCTGTCACTCTCCTCCCTCTCTCTTTCACAAATCAATACGCCGGCCAACAGGCTGCGTGACAGATTGTCTGCTGTGAGCTGCATGAAAAGCCTTTGTCAATAATATTGGTGTGCTATTGAATTCAGTCTGTGATTTTTAGCGGTGTCAAGTGGAACGATCACAGAGTGAGGTGGGGTGAATCAGAGCGGAGGCCTGCAGGTCTTTTTCTCTCTCTGTGACAGAAGCGCTACAGGTCAGCTGTGAAGCACGTCTGCTGCAGATATTTCCTCCAGTCAGAGTTCATCAGGAGAGGCAAAGGAAAACTTGTAGAGGAGTTACTCTACTGACCTCAGGCCACCGGAGGATCCCTTCAGACTTTTAACGCTTCGAAGTCAGCAACTCCCAACAAAGCAGTTCAGTGCATTTATAACTCTGGACCAGAATAGACTGAATCAACTTCCCCTGATAAGATTTCAGCTGCTACAGTCAGATGGTCGGGTCAGAATCTGGTGTCACCAACATGACAGCATGGATCCATCCTGCCTTGTATCAATGCTTCAGCATGGTGGTGGGGGTGTAATGGTGTGGGGGAGATGTTCTTGTTCCACGTTGGACCCCTTAGTTCCACCTGAACCTGGTTTAAACACCACAGCCTACCTGAGTATTGTTACTGACCATGTCTGTCCCTTTAAGACCACACATGGACCCATCTTCTGATGGCTACTTCCAGCCGGATCATGCACCATGCAAAAAGCCTTAGGGCTCCTGTTTCAGGAAGTAGAAGTTAAGCCTGAGTCATGCTTTTCCGTCAGCTCAAAAAGGGAGAGACACGCACCCATGGACTGAGACGTTGTGCTCTCATACTTCTCCGTCTCCTGGAGAGTGTTGCAAAGCAATTCCCCGCCAGAACAACAGAGGGCGTAGCGCTGTTCTGTGGTATCCTGTCATGTATCTGGCCCAAGATAGTGTGTTTATATTGTGTTTTTTGTGTATATAAGAGACTTTTAACACGGACATATTTGTCTCTCATTCTCCCACCTCTTCATGCGCTCCCCACCTCTAAACCCACGTTTCCTGTCATTTCCGTCCACAAATAAAACGCTTGCTGCGCATCTTTTCACTCCTCCAGTCACGGGAGAATTAAACGTTCATATTTTTTTAGAGTTTTTTCGCGAGGTGTTCTTCAAGCTTCTCCGTGTCTGCCGCTAGTTATTCTCGGCTCTCTTTATGTTTTTGAGGGCGCAATGGCAGCGGTGTAGACAACAACGGTGTCCTGACCAATCACAAGCTTGCGTTCTCCGTCTCGACGGACGGATGTTTAGAAAAGAGAGCTCAACTCGGTTCGTCCTTGCGGGAGCTCTCCAGCAGGCTCGTAAGGACGGATAAGGGCGTTGCGTGTCTCCGCACCGACGCAGAAGCATGACTCAGGCTTTAGTCAGAGGAGTGGGGGTCTTACTCATTAAAATTCATGATATAAAAACATCTTCCCTCTGATTGGCTATCATCAACACCACTCTTCTGGTGTCTGCGTTCACTCGTCTTTCTTGAGTAAAAAATGCAACACAAACCTGAACGTGTTCCGCCATGTTGTGGAGTTGCTAATAATAGCGGTTAGCTTCTACTAGCTGAGACTTGCTCTGCTCTCTCCTGGACGCTACGTCTACACAGCCTTCTGCAGTCACGAGCCAAGGTGGGCGAGTCTATGGCTGCTAAGAATGCTCTGTGATGTGAAAGAGGCCGGCTTTTTCTGACCCGACTGTCTCCAGGCATACAGTTGTGTGTTAACGCAAAAAATATCAGTAATGACATTAATAAATAGCTATTCTTGCCCTTCATTCTGACAAAGGTTAAATGTCATTTCCTGTTTATTAGAATACAGAGAGGAAATTTATTCATTAGTGGGAAATATTAAAAGCTATAATTTTTAAAAGTAATACCTGTTTAGAGGTGTGCAGGATGAATGTACTGTTTCTCCTTTCAAAGCTATGTTTAAAAAGAATAAATAATCACATTTTTATTTTGACGGGCACGACACCGGGCTTATGTTTACATCTACCAGCCACTAGAGGGCACCGTTGCGGTAAAAAGTCTGCTTGGCAAGTTGAGGCTGCGAATGTCTAAAATGGCGAACTCATTAAGTCGACAAGTATATCTAAAACTAAAACCACTGTCACACATCATGATGCAACTCTCATTATTCTACATTCTCTTATCCTCACACACACACACACACACACACACACACACACACACACACACACACACGTTAACTGTGTTTCTGCATGATGCTGGTATTCCACTAAGACGGTGTGGTTGGACTAATTAGAGTGGAATGCTGCAGCTGCTGTGCTGCTTAGGTGTTATGCAGCCAAACACAGCCAGCTTTTATTTTGGTTGTTTAACAAGTCTGCACGTAACTCACTCTCTGTGCACCGATCCCTGGTGTGCCACAGACTCCCCATGCCCCCCTCACTTTAACTTATAATAATAAAGCTCCTGCCTGATGGAGGTGCCGCAGCACAGCCTTGACTGAACGCTGACTCTGCTCCTCTGCTCCAGAGTTGCATAAGCAGTTGTTTTACCCAAGTTTGCTGAAGATCATTATTATTATTATTTATTAGATGCATGCTGTGTAATGGTAACTTACACCCACCCTGAGTTATTAGCTTTGTTTATAAGTATATAATAGCATTGCCACTATGTCTCAGTTATAATAAAGTAATGATAAATATTTATATTCAGGAGATGACCCATTCCTGGCCTCCTCCGCTCACAGCAATACACACTCCCGGGAAAGCGGATCAGACCAAGTTCCCCATTCCAAACAAGGTCAGTACTTACACACCTTTAGTCTTTGCCACTAAAAGCACTTTTGCTCAGGCACCCAGAATGTGCCGGGAATGTGTGCCAGCAGAAGTGCAGCTGTCATGCTCTTGGCTATGACTACATTGTTTATGAGACAGTGAGTGCAACGTAACGCAAACTAACGTATGAGTGATCAGACTAAGTTTGGCTATGGAGCTTTAGGGGGAATGATACACAACCAAGTAATGATTTTAAATAAATGTGCCAAATGTGTATCAAACAAACAGTTAATAAACAACAACAATAATGAGAATAATAGAACTTGAGCAAATACCAAAAAAAAGGCACAGAAGAGGATTCACAAATAACTAATAATGTGTGTGTTCAACACAACTAAACACCACCAAACTAGTGTGGATTTCACACCTCAGTTCAGTTCAGCACACACAAAAAAGCAAAACCCGAAGCGGCTCTAGCACGGTTTCCCAGTTCAGTTCAAAGGGTCCAAGTTGCTTTATCCAAACGAGGCTTAAAACAAAGTTGAAGTTTGCCGTACCTCATAGCAGCGGCGGTCGGGTGGCTCGCCACTTACAGCTCAGCAGGGATTTTCTAGCGGAAAAAAGATGAAAACTAGAAAGAAAACCTGACCTATAACCAGCTCAGAACACATTACCAACATTATACGGTGTCAAAGATCACATAATATCTGTACACATTCCATTTTCAAGCTCAGTATTACAGTTCGACACAATCTACTAAACTATATTACAGAAAAAAGAAAACGTGTAAGAGTTTCATGCTAATAAATTCCACGACAAGCATGATCTGATGTAGTGCTGTTTCATTGTTAACGCCGGAAAAACGATACATTACCTGTTTATTTGCACAGCACGTTTACACACAGCATGAGAGCTAACCAAAGGGCTTCCCATAAAATACATTGCAAGGACATAGCAAAAATAAATGCATCAATTATATATAATCAAAGACTTGATCATAAAATCACAGGCCAAATCGTAAAATAGCGTTTTTAAACAAGTTTTAATAGAGAAAAGAGATGGAGCCTGTCTAACCAACAGCAGAAGAGTAGGGGCAGCACACATAAATGCCCGCTCCCCCATGCTTTAAAACTCATCCGGGGCGTGGAGAGCAAGAAGAGATCAGCGGACCTCAGTGCTAGCCGAGGGATATAAGGAGCAAGCAGCTCAGTGAGATACAGTGGTGTCAGGCCTTTGAGGGCTTTAAACGTGAAAATCAAAACCTTAAAACGAACTCTAAAGGCAGCAGGAATCTAGTGAAGCTGTGCAAGGACAAGAGTGATATGACTGCGGCTGGTGCTGGTCAGAAACCTGCTAGCAGTGATCTCAAAAACCTGAAGGTGTTTCAGAGCTGAAACAGGTGTACCGATTGGTAGAGCGTTGGCATAGTCAAGGCAGGAGGTTATAAATGCGTGAATCACTCATTCTAAATATCTTCTCTTCAGTATTGGTTTCACGCGTTAGTCGATGCAACTGGAAGAAGCGTGATTTTACCACAGCGTTTATTTAAAGAACCATTGAGAGGTCAGTATCCAGTTTGACCCCAAGGCTAGTCACACAATCTTTAAAATTGAGATCAGGAAAATTCTGGGAAAGATGGGCATGGGAGACATTAAACGTATCAAATAAGATTGCCTCAGTGTTAGTCAGTGCAGTCGCCAGTAGGGATGGGTACCTTTGACATTTGAATCAATTCGGTACTAATTCCCGGTACCTACGAGTCGATACCGGTACTTAACGGTAACAATTTTCGATACGCTTGAGTGTTTATTATTTTAATTCTCTTTTATAATTAAATATATATTTTTCTCAATATATAACAATATTTGATAAATATCACGATAAATAACATTCAACTGTTTGTAGTTTAACATTGTCCTTGTAGTTTTATAAGCTGATAATTAAACTGAAGCAAACATCTTTACTGTGAACTAAATTTACTGTGTATCTTCATTCCTTTTGCCGTCTTTTTTCATTTGATTTTTCCTCCTGGGAAGTTAGAATTTCCGAGGAGAAAGCGAACGCACCATTAGCTGATAACAATGGTAGCAATGGAAACTAACATACCAAGCTAACGTTATCTTAAACGGTTTATTTAGCTGCTGGAGCAGATTTAAATGATGATGCCTCACACTTAGATCGTTGTCACTGGTTTCATCTTCACACAGTTACCCGTCGCATTTAGTAAAGTGAAGCCAAACTTTAGAGCGCGTTCATTGTTCTTCTAGTCGAAAATTCGGAGTTCCGAGGAGAAAGCGAACGCACCATTAGCGAAACGGAAGCTAACATATCAAGCTAATTATATTTACCTACCGGAGCAGATTAAGATGAGGATGTCTCACTTAGATCGTTGTCGCTGGTTTCATCATCACCCAGTTACCCATCACATTTAGTGAAGTGGACCCAAGCGTTAGCGTGCGTTCTTTCTACCATGCTGCTCTGTTTACAACACGCTCGCAGCGACCGACGACATAACGCTCTTGCGCATGCGCAGCTGTCTAGGCAAGTTCTTGTTAAGAAGGACGGGTAACGAAATGAGGCACCGTTTGAAATGACGTGAATCTGTGCTCGGTCGGTACTGTGGAATTCGGTCGGTACCTTAAAAAGTACCGAATTCGGTACCCATCCCTAGACTCGCCAGTCTTAACATTGAAGGATCTATTGGATAAGTAGGAGCAAAAGCATTCTAAGGCAGTACCCGCTACCCCCTAGACCCTGCACGACTTTATTTTTTTTAAAGTCGACAGTCAAGTAATGAAAGTCGAGTCGACTTCGACTAGTCGTTGATGACGTCATACGCCGGAAGCGGGTTGGGGGGGGGGGGGGGGGGGGGGGTCGGTCGGTAGGTTCGCTGGAGTTTTTGACAATTAAAATTGCGCCCACATTTTCTAAGTTAACACATCTCTTTTAACAACGGTAGTTTCTGCATCCTACTTCAGTCCTCTCCCCCCTCCCCCTGCTTCAGCCCTCTCCCCCCTCCCCCTGCGCAGCAGCCGCAAACTCACTGATGCGCCTGCAGCCTCTCGGAGTTCCTGCTGCTCTAAACATTAAAATAATTATTTCATTTTCTGTTCCTCACTTCTGATTACCTTCAGTGGTGTCTGCTTGTTGCAACCAGCAGGAACAAAACTAACTTGTTTTTATTTGACTATTTTTCTGTCCTGTCTGTTTATTATCTTCCTGCATCTCCTCTCAATCCTAAAGAGAAACTGCTACCTGGGTTCATATATATTCACCTCATGAGTTACCTTTGAACTGCAGTTCTAAAAGATCTACCGACCGCTAAAACAGCGGAGTGCCGCTGCTCGCCGGCCGACTACAACGGGACCGTTTTTGCTGCAGAGTTCATGCCGGAGCGGAGCGGAGTGGAGATAGTGGAATCTTGGGGGTGTGTCACCGGAGGAACAGGTGATGCGCCTCGCCCCGCAGCAGCGAAACGCATCAGGCACAAATAACAGACAGAAAACATGAAAGGAAATGAGCCGACATGAACGATCGCGTGTTTAATTTGTTTTTGAGGTGGTGACACCTGATTTGGCGGTGCTCAGGACGCAGATGTCTGGAGCGCGTCAATGATCAGAGCTTTGCATGCACAAACTGGTTAAGATTAGGATGGGGGTGAGGGGAAGGTTAAATTGCAAGAGGGAAAAGGTCACAGTTTGGTTAAATGTCCGTTTTACCGCCGGTGTCAGTACCGCACAGCGCGTCGCCTCCGCCTCGATCCAGACACGCAGGGCTCGTCACCTGCTGTCTTTTCCGAGGACTGCATCTTGTCAGTCATTATCACGTGACAGCGACTAGTTGATGACAGGCATAAAAAGTCACTACAGAGCCGTGAAGTCGACTAGTCGACTCTTTCGTACAACCCCTACTACCCCCTCCCATCACTCCAAACGTTGCAACAGCATGTCATGATCTACAGTATCTACGCCACAGACAGGTTCAAAAGAAGCAGCAGAACTTGAGACCCAGAGTCTGACGCGACCAAAATGTTGTTCAGGACACGAATGAGGGCGGATTCAGTGTTGTGGCATGGTCTGAACGCTGACTGAAACATAGAGTACAGGGGAGTTATTTGGAAAAGCAGCAGTAAAAACTGACACAGCTGTGGATTTGGCATTTCCTGGTTCACAGCCCGAATCCGTGTTGGTCTAGTTTATTCTAATCAACCGTGTACGACTGACAACTGGACCAGAGTTTGAGTAATCCATTCAAACTGATGTCAAGAATTGACGGCATCTAACCGTTAAAATGCGATAGCATCGGTAGCTGCGAATCCAATGTGTTGTGTAAAAAGTACAATTTTAAGCTCAGATGTGTTTTTACGACATGAGTAATGTGAGAACAGGGTTTGTGAGCTTTGCCCTGCGAGGAAGTCATACAGCTTGAGCTGAACACGACTGAAAACATTTTAGAGCGTACGCCTGCCTTTAGTCACCACATTCGACAAGTTTCCAAACTTCTGTGGTGTTTTTATTTAATGGCAACTAATGAACATTTTCTTGGTGGGGCAGATGAGCCAGTAGAGTGTTCGCGAAACACGTTCCCACAATATGTCTAAACTCGTGAGAGGTTTAATGGGTTTGTTAACTTCGTCTTCGTCTTCGTCTTCCTCCGCTTATCCGGGTCTGGGTCGCGGGGGCAGCATCCCAATTAGGGAGCTCCAGGCCGTCCTCTCCCCGGCCTTGTCCACCAGCCACCTCCACCAGGACCCCAAGGCGTTCCCGGACCAGATTGGAGATGTAACCTCTCCAACGTGTCCTGGGTCGACCCGGGGGCCTTCTGCCGGCAGGACATGCCCGAAACACCTCCCCGGGGAGGCGTCCAGGAGGCATCCTGACCAGATGCCCAAACCACCTCAACTGGCTCCTTTCGATCCGGAGGAGCAGCGGTTCTACTCCGAGTCCCTCCCGAATGTCAGAGCTCCTCACCCTATCTCTAAGGCTGAGCCCGGCCACCCTACGGAGGAAACTCATTTCGGCCGCTTGTATCCGCGATCTCGTTCTTTCGGTCATTACCCAAAGCTCATGACCATAGGTGAGGATTGGGACGTAGATCGACCGGTAAATCGAGAGCCTGGCTTTCTGGCTCAGCTCCCTCTTCCCCACGACAGATCGGCTCAGCGTCCGCATCACTGCAGACGCTGAACCAATCCGCCTGTCGATCTCCCGATCCCTCCTACCCTCACTCGTGAACAAGACCCCGAGATACTTAAACTCCTCCACTTGAGGTAGGACCTCTCCCCCGACCCGGAGTAGGCAAGCCACCCTTTTCCGGTCGAGAACCATGGTCTCAGATTTGGAGGTGCTGATCCTCATCCCAGCCGTTTCACATTCGGCCGCGAACCTACCCAGCAAGAGCTGAAGGTCAGAGCTGGATGAAGCTAGGAGGACCACATCATCCGCAAAAAGCAGAGACGAGATTCTCCTGCCACCAAACTCGACACACTCCACACCACGGCTGCGTCTAGAAATTCTGTCCATAAAAGTGATGAACAGAACCGGTGACAAAGGGCAGCCCTGGCGGAGTCCAACCCTCACTGGGAACAGGTCCGACTTACTACCGGCTATGCGGAGCAAACTCACGCCCCTCTGGTAAAGGGACTGAATGGTCCTTAACAGAAAGCCACCCACCCCATACTCCTGGAGCGTCCCCCACAGGGTGCCCCTGGGGACACGGTCATAAGCCTTCTCCAAATCCACAAAGCACATGTGGATTGGTTGGGCAAACTCCCATGCCCCCTCCATCACCCTTGCAAGGGTATAGAGCTGGTCCACAGTTCCACGGCCAGGACGAAAACCACATTGCTCCTCCTCTATCTGAGATTCAACTATCGATCGGACCCTCCTCTCCAGTACCTTGGCGTAGACCTTTCCAGGGAGGCTGAGGAGTGTGATCCCCCTATAGTTGGAACACACCCTCAGGTCACCCTTCTTAAAGATGGGGACCACCACCCCGGTCTGCCACTCCCTAGGAACTGCCCCCGATGACCACGCAATGTTGTAGAGACGTGTCAACCATGACAGCCCTACAACATCCATAGCCTTGAGATACCCAGGACGAACCTCATCCGCCCCCGGGGCTCCGCCGCTGTGTAGTTGTTTGACTACCTCAGCAACTTCTGCCCCCGAGATCGGACAGTCCATCCCCAGGCCTCCCAGCTCTGGTTCCTCCTCGGAATGCGCATTGGTGGGATTGAGGAGCTCCTCAAAGTATTCCTTCCACCGTCCGACTATAGCCTCAGTTGACGTCAGCAGCTCCCCATCCCCACTGTAAACAGTGTGAGCGAGTTGCTGCCTTCCTCTCCTGAGGCGCCGGACAGTTTGCCAGAACCTCTTTGGAGCCGATCGATAGTCTTTCTCCATGGCCTCACCAAACTCCTCCCACGCCCGAGATTTTGCCTCGGCAACTGCCACTGCTGCACCCCGCTTGGCTATCCGGTACCTGTCTGCTGCCTCCGGAGACCCACAGACCAGCCACGCCCTGTAGGCCTCCTTCAGCCTGACGGCTCCCCGAACCTCTGGTGTCCACCAGCGGGTACGGGGGTTGCCACCACGACTGGCATCGGCCACCTTACGACCACACGACTTTAAACTAATGGTAGGTGTGGAGCAGCTGGCAGCAGCCCCCCCCCCCCCCCCCAGTACAAGCAGGGACATAAATTCCATCGCCCCAAAGACAGTAAATTATGTTAAGGTGATTGGCCAAATATGGTTTTCCCCCTAGAGGCTGCGCACGCTTGGTTGTTTAGCTAAACTGTAGTGATCAACGAGAGGAATGATCACAGGTTTGAACTGACTAGCATGTTAGCTGTGTAGCTAAGGAAGTGTTTCTGCTACAGGATTATTTTATGGTGGGAGATGATTCAGAACAATCCAACATGAAATCACAAGACCACACACAATCAGTCAGTACTCATGGAGATGACTCCCAGCTACCAACTGAGATTTGTTTTCTGTGGTAGCCATCTTGAACCAAGCTAATTATATTATGATGGAGGTTAATTGTTTACTAACTGAACATTTAACTGTGACATTTTAAGTGATTTCACCTATGCACCTAAGCAACATCTGATCACATTTAATTATTCAGTAAACTGTCTCCTTTCCCTACATACGTGTTTTATAACAAATTACAACGTAAGCAGTAAATTCTGGGTTTTTTAAATGAGAAACGCCTTTTGGGGCAAATCCCCCACCCCAGCACTTCTCTGAGAATGGGTTGGAGTCTGAAAACGGGGGATGAGATAATCTGAACTTTGAGTAATGGCATCTTTCCACTGCTGTGGGATCACTAATGACATCTGGTAGGTTTTTCCTCCTCATTCTGGTTTTCTCTCTCTGTTGCCAGGAGTCCCAGCATGTGACCTCAGGCTACACCACCCAGAGTAAGTTTCACGGCGTACACACCAGCTGTTGTGATAAACAGGCAGAGGCCATAAACAGAACAGAGTCTGAGAGGTGGGAGAAGGTTGCTGATGTTTAAATCAAGTCACAACCACAGGAGAACGATACGAGGGGATCTGTTGCTTTTGTCTGAACAAGAAGTCAAACGTTATGAGGTGATTGTGTGAAACGTGGAAGCATCGTGTGTCTAAGGCCTGGTTCACACGGGAAGATCATTATGCATATTTTTCACCTGATTCTCCCCCGACAGTCTTAAACACGGTACGGCCCTCATTACAGTAATGGTTTCAAAGATAATCTTATCAGATATTCCTGCCGTTTGTGGTTTGTTAAGAGTGCTCTGGTGAAAGTTAGGACCACTCCAGTTATAAATTCAGACATTAAACATGTTGGATAGTCTTGGCAGGATTAAGGAGCACTCTGCCTGTTGAATGTGGCGTGCAGTAAAAAAGCCAGCTGATGGAAACATGCTCCACGCTCCTCATCCTCCATGTTGGCCAGTGTTTCCCAATTCCCATCCTCAGGAACCCCTGCACTGCATGTTTTGCATGTTGCTTTTTCAGACACCAGTGTTTCTCTGTTGCCACACACCTGATTTAAATAAATGAGTGATTAACAGGCATCTGCAGCACTTGATGTCTTCCTAAGGAGGCAATGCAAATACGTAAATCAGGTGTGCTGAAGCAGAGACGTGGAATTGGGAAAGTTGGGAAACACTGGTTTACCCCAAAATTACCCGTCAGTTTGCCGCAACGCCGTGGCAGCATCAGGGAGCCTTAGGTCGGTTATGAGCTCCAGAAGCTCTGCGTCGCCCCACATTATCATCTAAACTAATTGTGTTTACAAAAGCGAAACTAACGGCCCATTTTTACTTTCATGTTCAATACAGTTAGCAGCCAGAGCTCAGCAGTAACTCCCCTCATGGCCTACCAAGCGAGGTGGAACAAATGCCGCTAAATTCACGCGTTGCCGTGCCAGCGTGGCGCGTTTATAAGACACACTGTTGCAGTTATATTATGCTGATTTGCCAACATGGTGGTTCTCATAAAAAGGGCTAAAGTCATGTTTCACCTCAAGAGGTTTGGAGGCACTTCCCTTCCGACCGGGGAATGTTCGTGAGTGAAATCAGACTGTGCGTGGGGCGTAGTTTTTACACCACCCATTGCAGGACCGACACCGTTATACCTGTGATGTTTTTATCACCATGTGGGGGTCTCTCATGTTTTCCAAGTTTCCAAAAATGTTTAAATAATGTTGTGAGTGAGAATCAGGTCTTAAATGAGTAGCACTACAAAAAAGCCTGTAAGGAACAGGGTACTTACTGGCTTATGTATTGGGTAACTAACTCCTGAGTACTTAGGGTTACCAAATAGATTCTGATGGGTTACTCAGAAGGCTTTTCAGTTTTACTAAAATTATACGACTAGTGTGGCAGAAAAAGTCCAGTTTTTTAAGGTTGTTTTGTGGCGTGTAGCACTAATTGCATAAGAAAGAGTTAAAGTGATATTAAGGCAGATTTTAATTTTCAGAGTCAAAGTGGATCTTACATATCTTGTATGTCCCTGTTTAACGAGTGAATTAGTCCAGTTTTAGATACTTTGGGGTTAAGTAATGTGCTGAAAATGACCCAGAATGCTGTGATGTGCACAATAAATCCTAATTTAAAGGAAGATGAAATGCTTCAGAGGCGAGCTGGAGGCTTTGTAAAAAAAAATAAACAAAAACAACAATGTTAGTTAAAAATGAGCTAAACATACAAAAAAAAGTATTAACTTAAACATTATGCATTTTAAATTTGTCTGACTGCAGCATACATGTGCTCAATTCTTACCAGATAATATATTTATGTTGTAGCTTTGTTGCCATTTGATAGTATTGTAAATTCTCACATTTATATATTTTTCATAGATTTTTATTCTGTTAAAACAATTTGTTTTTGCAAAGTGAAAAACATTTTCTATCATGAGGTTTAGACGTCACTCTGCTCA